AGGGAATTATCTAGAGTCGCTCTTGACTCTTTGACAACTTAGTATAGTGATTGGGTGAAAACATTTCTTGTTAGATTAGTGACATCACCATCTGGTGAGAAAACAATGGTAGTCTCCATTCTATACTATCTATATTTTTTATTGTGGTAACAAACTAGAAGACTAAGTTATAATTAATTAATTATCAAGTTAAAATGTGTGGTTCAACTCGCACTTGGGGATGACTTAACGTTAAACAATTTGCTTAGCAAAATCCCTAAGTTGATAAGTTAGGTGCCTAATTAAATTCCTTAAGACTTAAGACTCAAGTTCCTTTGCCGACTCCACTATGTTGGGTATTATTTTACCAGAAACATTAATTCGATTCAATATTTAGGTAACCAATAACTTGATTACCCATAAATACCGACAGAAATCATAAATAAACAATACATTATCATTTTAGGAATGGAATTCATGGAATGTACAAATAATATAATTACAGTACAATATTATCAATATAGTGGAATGTAGACAAATAGATTTATTGAAAATTAATTCGCTCACAATAACTAATTTGTGGTGTACAATTATAGTTGGAATCATAACACGCAACGAAATCAACCTTTGATTTAGTCGTACTTTATTCGTTCAAGTAAAAAGTTGGAGCTCGCGTGCTCATAACAAAGAATATAATCAGCAATTAATGGACACGAATGAATAAACTGAGATTTATGTATTTGGATAATGACTTACTCGAAGTTATCAGTACAACGAGAGGTGACTGACATACGCCCCTGCGAACGTGGGGGAACAACGCCACTTCTCAGACAGGTAGAGCAATGCCAATTACAAACGAACCGCACGTCTATCAACAATTGAACTGCTAAAATAACCCTTATTGCTCAAGAAATAAAGACAGACGACGACGAAATTTTTTTCTTTTATTTTTCGTGATTTTTCTTCATGTCCATTGTCAGATTACTGGAGTTAGAATCGTCGGGGGACACGACAATGACGTAAAAGGTTGCCTCTTAGTTTGCTTAAAGGAGAATTTAATTCATGATTCTTCAGAAGCTCGTGAACCCGCTGGGTACAATACTTGTATCTAAACGAAGGTTGTATAAGTTGAGAGTAGTTTGTCTCTAGTCTGCGAACAAGTTGTTCAGACCCTAAGCTGAGAATTCCACGGCTGCGTAATTAGTATGTTGGCCCCACACACGGCGGCGTCGTAATGCGTTTTATGCTCTAGCTAAATTGCCTCGAGGATAACATGGAAACACGGTAAACGAGACAACCTTATTAATTAAAACTCTTCACAATAATGCGCAAATAAAGCCGTTCAGAACTCTCAAACAGTGTTAAGATCGCGTATTTGTTCTTCGCTTCTGAAATTTCACAGACTGGAATAATTTCTTTGTTAAAAATCAGCATTATAGTGGCTAACGAAACAACCAATTAAAATAATAAACATGGCTCCATTAGACCGCTGTAACGGATGCTGGAAGCTGAACTGCTGACGGAGGGAACTGGTTTTGATAACTTCTAAAACTAACGAACAGCTTTCAATATTTGGAACCATGTTAAATTAATAATAGCCCTTTAAATAGGTACACCGCGGTACACGTACTATATATACTATTTAGTCATAGACACAAATCTATACAAATGGCTTTTGACATTAATTAGTCACAATTAGCAAATGGAGATTGTACTTACTCATAGATAAGTCGTGTTTTTGTTTATCAATTAGTGTTGTATTCACGTAGCATGTAAACATAACTGAAGATATATAATATCTATCTAATACTGGATATGAGTAATAACAATGTGTGAATCGCCGATTCTGAGCAAAGGCGTGAACTTACTTTTAATCTTTCAGACGTCAGACCGGCTACCGATAAGCGTTTAAATCATCGTGGATAAACATATTGGAGGCGAGGAAATCGTGGAATCCTTTACACCGTGTTTAGACCATGAATAAACAAACAAGGGCACCTGGTCCGTAATAAAAAGTAGGATATGGGAATCGATACAGAGATGTGAGGTGCGTAGGTACACACTACACACGTACTGCGCTCGCAGCTTCGCAGTCCGTGATCTTTGCGGAAACTATCGATTTCATGCCGCGACTGATTGACTTGACGTGACGTCTGCACAAAATACACAAACTCGGCGGAGGGTCAAAACTGTCAGATTTCTTGCGATCGGTTGAATGGGCGTTCCCAATTGAACCGCTTGAGGAAAAAGTGTTTTTTTGGGTTTTCATGTATTGGTGTTTCAAGCCCGATATTTGCAGTAGTGTGCTGTGACTCGTACTTTTAGAAATTACTAGTCCAATTTTTTTTTGCACAAAAATAAGTCATACCTACAATAATTTAACTCGTCGAGTACCGTCATTACAGACACAATTATAGAACAATAGGTTGCGGTCACCGGTGACCGCTTGGTGTTTGACAGTTTAAGAGCTATTCAATGATTACATTTTTATTTAGCAAAAGTAATCACAATTCAGAACTTGCATAATGGAATAACATTTAAAAGTTTGTTATCATTTGAACAGAGTTTCCTTTCATAGAATATCTATAACTCGGAAAGCCGCCCCTGGCTACGAGAGGATTGTCGAAATTGGATAACACGCTTTGTTGCTTTATGACAAAGGTTCGCTAAATCTCATTCGATTTTTAAACACAGTTTATATTTAAAACAGGCGAGCATCCATCTGTTATTGTTCACCAGTAAAGAATGCTCATAAGTAATCGATAAGTGAAAACGTTCACGAGTCTGTCAAATTTTTAAACTTTTTGCTTAGACTTAGACATAATGACAACTTGTCACGGTATTCTTAAACACCTATATAATGACGCGTCAATAAAATTAACTGACCGGAACATTCTTGTTGCAGCGAAAGAAAAGGAACTCTATTTGAAATTGAAATGTAATTTTGCTTCAATATCAAGTGTCATTGAAGAATGCCGTGTTTGAATTCTTAATTTTTCTTACTGCATTTTAATTTTATTATTCAAGATTTTGCTAATTTGTCTACTAAGTAAATACAAAGAAACGTAATTAAGACCTCTTTCATTAGAAAAAGATAATGAAATCAACTTCTTAATCACGACTTCTTTGGAATTTAAAAATCGTCATGATATCAATCTAATGATTCTGTAGGCTAATAACGATAAACAAAACGCTGTTGAATATTAAACAAGGCATTAAGGTGGTGAGGGTGAAAATATTCATCACGTAATTGTTATGAGACTGTAAAATTGAAAAGGGGTTTGGGGATCGGAGCCTCCGAAACATCCTAATGTAATTGGAATGGATTGAATACAGTGCATTTCGGTGAACACGAGCAGATTGCGACCCGATTACAAGTAGATTAGAATGATAATACAGCTGGGAACGTGTTTACGATTTCAAGAAATAGACAATACTTGGATGTTTACGTTGGTAGTGAAGTTTTTCGATAACAATATTGCCTGTATACGTGTAGCAGGTGAAACACCGTTTTATTAATTTCTTGTTTATAAAATTTAACAATTGAGTGTAACAATCAACAATCTGACAAAAGCCAGAGAATTGCGGGAGGTTGATAGCACGTGCTTGTCCCGCTTGTTTGTTAATCTACAGGAAGGCAGTGCCAAGCAGATTTTCATGAAATTTGGTGGCATTAAACAGGATTAACATAGAGATTACTTTATAATTCACGAGGATAAACTCGGCTAAAGGCTGATCTAGCATAAAAGCAGTATAGAGGAAACAGTTACTTGGGGATTTTGCTTGGAAATCTTGAGCAGAATTTCAGATGCGACATAATAAAGATTTGACGGTGTGTAACAGGAATTGTGGCTGAACGTTCGAGTCGGCTGTGCGTGACCGAGTTGCGTGCTTTCTGCCAGTCGTCATAGCAACCAACAGTTTCTAACTACTAAGAAATTTGCTAGACGAAGCCGGATGGACTTTGAGAGGGCAGTAAACTGCATACAGTACACGTTAAATAACAGTGCTCACAAATATCGGAGTTGACTCATTTTGTAATGGTTGAAGTTTCGTAGGAACAAGTAAAATACGATATATGCAACCACTGAATGTGACATAATCATGCATAAGAGGTTGCAGGCGTGTCATAATAAATTAAAGATCAAGCGACACGGTAGCAGAGAAGGGCTGTGGATTATTTACTTGCACACGTTCAAAATATAAGGAATATTTGTTCCTATACTGGAATTGGAAGATTTACAACGGACGTGGGATATAAATGTTCGAAAAGGAAATTTCGGACATATCCATTTTATGAATGGCACGCTTTGAATTGACTGATCTTAATCCAAAGTGAACCCGAGGTGAATGTGCGTTCCCTCTCAATATATGAAATAGGGCCGGTCTCAATACGCGAATTTTATTAGGGTTGCGAATCAATAGGTCTCCACACATATTTCAACCCCTTTCTAAATGTTTATAACGGCAATAAATACAGTAACGTTAATAACATGGCGTGTGATTGAAAAACGTTCAATTACTGCACAACCGTAAACGGCAAAATTCCCATAACATTTCGATTAAAATCAAGTTATTGTATGAAATTAATAAAATCTGGATTGAATACAATCACCGACCGTTGCACAATTTATCAATGAAAGATAAGATAAAGCTGCAACTGTACGTAGCTATGTATAGTACTATTATAAGTAGTTAACCAGAAAGTTTTACCTTGAACTGGTGCGTAACTAAGTTCCAAACGTAGTAAAATAAACACGGTGTGTTCAAATAATACAATTTTCTTTCACTTTCCACAGAAACGTTCACATAAAATCAACAATATGATGCGATGACACTGTACTAACACTTTTATTCAACTATGCCGAGGTGTATGCAGATATGGAAATAAGAGCGGCGGGGCGTCGACCGGCATCAACGACGCGAGACAACTGACTGAGCACTGAACTACTGACTACACGGAGCCGCAGAGTCGCGGCCCGAGTGTCGGAGTGTTAGTATAATCCCGCCCCTCGCACCGAACATACATCAGCTGTGTACACCTTATCATAAATAGATAATACATACTTCTACAACGACATATTATCTGAAATATTCTAAGACCCACATCAACCTTAGTCATCAGTGTCATCACCAGGCTTGCCATCAATACAATCCTAATTAGCACTTACATTGGCATTATATTAATGGAGTAGTTTATTTAAAAAGTAATTAAGGAACGTCGAGTTGACTTGTTACTCTTTCGTAATTTGAAGAAATTTAATTAGGTAGGAAATATTCTTGCTTTGATAAATGTTGCCTTTGATATTATAATGTATTGTCGAAAAGAGAGAGAAATTAGAAGTGATGAATGGCAATTTATTTGAATGCCTAATTTCTTAGTAAGTACATATGCTTAAGTTTTTATAAATGCCGGTTTACACAATGGATGAAGAAGAACAACAATGACACTATTCCCGTACTGTTTCTTCATTCAGTTGTACAATTTTCAAAAGTTTGATTTTTTCCGCCACGGTGCTATTCAGTCCACACTTTTTAGGGCCGACGGTCGTTTTGGAATGTCATCAATCACTGACAAGCGAAAGAACTCGGACCTTTGCATAAAAACGTATTCAATGTCTTTATGGATTTATTTTTATTTCAGACTGGGTATAATCTACATTAAAACAGATCTACCCTTTGATGTAGCCATGTTACCCTGAAGGCAAATACGAAATAATATTCTATAACATTATGAACAACCTTTTATATAGAAATCTACAATTAGAAAATATTCGTTTCATGTAAGTACTTACGCTACCAAAATATACGTTTTTATGATTTAAATAAACTTATACGAAGATATATATGTATAACATCTTTGCAGAGGAATTTTGGTATGACTAAATAAGACACGAATTTGTTAAAAAACATCAGTATAATTATATTGTACAAGATATCGAGAGAAATTAAACCCAAAACGAGCAATAGACTAATTTAGGCGAAGAGTACAATGTAAAATTAATTACGGGCACATTTTCCCCTTCACAACATTCTGTGGTCTGAAAAAGTAGGTAGGTATAATGAAAGCTTGTATCGTAATGACATCGACATCGGATTCTCCATTTCTTTGAATAGCAGGAAGCCAAAAACAACACGCGATCATAAGCGACCACACTAATGTTTAACGCCTTAATAACAAAAGTGAGAATGATACCAATGGAACGATACGACGAATCATTAAACAATAAAGAGAATAAATTCCTTTTGTACAACGTTTTAGGTTTTAATTTACCTCATTCAGACAACAATGAAATTGTGGGGGACAATGGGCACCGGACATCGTGTGGACTACCATAAGGCGGAGCAATTAGCAAGACGGCAGATCAATGAACACGTAAAAGTAATGAGCCAGTAACGCAGTATTATGCATTAAGAGAAGAGCGTAAAACGTATAATATATTCTGTTCTTGTGATTACAGAAAATAACAAACGGGCCTCGGAGCCAGCTTTGAAGTGAAATTACACGGCGAGCCGGGGCGACGGAGCTTTTTCATTAACAACTTGGAAAATTTAGGCCAGAGGAGACACAGACAACGCAAACAAGACGCAGATATGGATGGTAGATCTGACAGACATCTTTGTAAACTGAATCATGTATTTTAAGATTAACTGTTGTATTTTTGTGCAACGGTAGACTATGAAGGTTATTTAACTTAATATTTAGGTACCCAAATAACATTATTGTGCTAATTTTCGAATAGTTAGCAGTAAAACTAAACTTGTTGGTTGGTATACGAACTTGCATATCATTTGCTTAAGGCTAGGGCAATAGCACCATCAGGTTCGCAAATTGGACACGTCCTGCCGTCGATCGTCACTTTGAGTTTTGACAGGAACTATTTCCGTACTACAATCCTACTGTTTCTTTTATATGTACTACCAATACTTATAGCTTGTAATTTTCCATTATTGGAATTGGTGTCAATTTATTTATCGAAATACATCTAAAATACAGGCTTCCTTCCTGTAAGCAGGCGATTTGAGAATAGATAGTATCCCAAGTTCTCATAGATATTACACAATGAACACAAATAGAAGGTAGACCTACTATTATTGTTGATGATTTCCGCAAAGCTTTCGACAAAGGCAGGTTGGAGTGAACACTAATTTAGTGTTTTATTAGGGGAGCGCAACAGGTCGTAAATGTTGCGGTCACAACTGAAATTACATCGCTTTGTTGTCTTAATACGTAATCCAATAGTTTTCGGTCAGGCCACAGAGGTAGTTCGACATGCTTTGCTGGCATCACCTGTTATGAAATACTATGAGCTAAGCATATGAATAAATATAAAGAAGGTAAACAACCTAGAGGAAAAACCTAGAGGAAAAATAAGAAATAGATGGAAACGAATTCACAACCCAAAAAGCGAACAGTGTACACTGAAGTGAAAACGCGATAAAGTAAAGCTTACATTACAAAATGATCAACTCGAACAGTTTTAGAATTGAAAAGATAAAGGTTGAATAAAATCGAAATCTGAATGTCTCTTTGCATAATGCGAACAGATTTTATCATGGCGTCGAGTGCATATTGTTCGCTTGTTAACCGCAGTAACCGAATCCTGTACCTGTTTGCAGAGAGTGTTCTAGACAGTCTAACGAGTTTCGTAATATCAAGTTAATCGTCCAGTATTTGCAAGATACAAAACTTTTGCATGTTATGTTATATTTTCCAACCCAATATCCTTTTGTCAGATACAGATGTTCTCTTTGCTTTCTATTAAGAGATATAAGTTAGTCTATTTTTCTAGGAACTTTTACTCAAGACTAACATTATAAGTTAAATGAAACTATAAAATATTATACAGAATATATATGACTGCTGTCGATACTAGAATGAGTTCAGGCGAAATTATGCTTCTTGGTTTTTAATAATGCATTCTTAACTGATAATAGTAAAGAGGAAAATAGTATTTCAAAGAGTACTTAACACTACTAGTACTTAATAGTAGTTCACAGAGCTTCTGAAAATAATAGAGGTACATACGCATTAGATTTGCGTATTTTATACTAACTGTCGTGAGACATACTAAATTAACTAATAATTGCGGGTTACTGAAAAAAGTGTTATAAAGTGTAGAATAAAGTTACGTGAATGTACTGAAAAAAGCTCTACTAGTTTCGAATCACAGAATGTTCCTCAAGAGCAGCGTGCGCGGTCGCGACGATGTCAGTAGGCTGCGCGACATCGCCACGGTGTCAATATATTCACGTGAGTAACTCGCGATTTTTATTTAACTTGCAATTGCACGCAAAATTGCTTTGTTAGCATTTTAATTTTAGTTAAATAAAATTAATTTTACAAAATCAAGTCAATAAAGTCGATGCCCAAGTGGAGAAGTAAATAGATCGTTCCACGAGGTCACTCGGAATCGGGTCTGGAAAGTTTGCCGTCCATATTCAATTATTCACGTTTGTATGATAGACGAAGCCAATCCGTCGAAATTCAGAGGATTTCAGACGATCCTACGCTACGGAGCACTCCAACGATGAGATTCGATTATGTGAATAATATTCGAGTAGACACGTCCGAGAGAGGGCCGCAATCAACGAATATGATAATAGAGAGCAAAAGATAACCCAAATTCTAGGATTAACTGAAAATTCGCTAGGATACTGTGACACATTGAAACATTGGATTTCCGAGTTATGTACCTACTACTTGCACAACACGAATCAAAGGCATGTACGGAGAATATTTCAGAATTCAAAGAATTCATGAACTCCGAGCTTCGATCAAATTATTAACGGTCCCGTCTTACTAAAAATGACCAATGCAGACACGTTTAGAGGGAATTGAATGAAGCACTAATTACGGGCTGCTTGAAGTTTTTCAATTAGATGAAAGTCGTCTAAAAACTTTATCAATTATCCGAGCACATAGGTAATTAACGACTAAGCACATACTTCATAGTGCCGGTTGTTATTGTTTTCCTACGGTATTCACTTAATTACCGCTTACCATCAGTGCTATTATGATTAAAGTTTGAATAGACTTTGTATTAATAACAGAAAGTTCTTTGCCGCAGGGCGAATCAATACTCGTGCGGCAACCAAAAGCGGACGACCTCTACGTTACAATGTAAGAATCCGTGGCCTTCCAAAATATTGTTTAGCTCATTCTGAACAAATTCAAATCCACCGCTACATTTCCAGGAATCGGAAGTTTGAAATCATTATCGTTTGATATGAAAGTAAACAATTGTTCTGCGGTGTTATTAACGGTTAAACCTATTCCCAAATATTTCCGATTCTTACTGTTACATTTGTACGAAACGGATTTGAATAAAAATCATGGCCCAAAAGTATACGCCATAAATTGTTCTGAACAATTGCAGATGGGGCACATTGTACTCAAACAATAGACAAACATGGACTCAGCCGGCGACCCTTAGTGGGATGAAACTGATTTATTACACGGCTGTATCGTTTGAAGGTAATGACGTTGCTAATATGAATGACCACATTTATAAGAGTGACATGTCCACCCATGCAACGAACACACAAAAATTTCATTAATGCGGACGTTGTATGAAGACTCGTAATAATAAAATATTTGAAAAGCGATGAATGCATCTCCAAATGCAGATAGGAGCAGGTCAACGTCTTGAACAGAAATAGCTCGGTACGGTCGGGCAGCCCCTGGCCCATGTCTTTCATCGCGCTTACTTAGCAATTCGTTCCGACATCTCGTTAATATGTCAACAAGGTTATCAATAAACAATATCGATGGTATGGTCTCCCACTACTGTTTACTTCAAATATACTTAAACAGATTTATAATGAAGTTGTGTTTACTATCGGGTCAGGCATAATAGAAGGCGTGGGTCGTCAACCGAACAATGGCGACCTATTTTTTACAAATGGCCACTAACAATCGAGTCGTCAACTCATTTGCCTCCAGCAATATCTCGTTCACTTCACATTCCTTTCATGGCTCCTCTGAAAGTCCATTTGTGAAATGAAACGTGGCCTACTGATGGAATTAATTTCAATTCAAGCGATTCTGAATACTCGAGCATCGTCGTTACGTTTCTTTTTATAGCCTTATCAGATTCATTGTGATTTATGGGTTCGTGGATAATTTTATGTTAGGAGCTTGTTCTTAAACAAGAACAACACCAATTACTGTTTTACAATATTGTTTATGTATCCTCTAATAAATGCTGAAATAAGTTTCTTCTAGACGAAAGTCTTCTAATGAAATTCTCGTAACTCTTTGTTGTTATTTCCTTTATTACGATGGAGTCCGTGTACGAGTCCATTAATATTATTTTGTCGTTTTATGTTAACATGTGTGAATCTTGTAACAACACATGGAATAAAGCGCTGTCACTTACATAATTCACATGTGTTACCGTATCCGTTAAGATAATATATCGAGGTAAATAGAAATTAAATTGGTATAACGGGATTCTCAGCAATGTCTATGCAGACGGTATTAGTGAATTGAACCGCTCGTGTACCGTTCAATTTCCCTGGAGAGTAGAGATGAGACGCGCTATACGGCGCATCGTGATCCTATGTAGCGGATTTAAATCTTGACAATGTTGTAGCGCGATCCCTTTAGGGGAGCGTTCCAACTCGTAAGTATCGAAGTTTAACGTTCACTTTCTTGCGATCTTTCGCAAAGAAAGAGTGAAGTCAATTGCGGTTGCCCTCTAAGAGAGTATGGATCCAGGAATCCACATTTTAATCTGACATGATGTTGATAAATTGTTTCCTATCTTGACCTCGTTTAGCTTGAACAACAATTTTAAGAATTAGGAACTGAGTTTCCTTACTAAGCGTTATCAGATAGACATTTTATTATCAAGGATGCAAGCATAATTGCCATACATTAAACTGAGTATGTTTGCTTTAAGTAAACTGATGAGTTCGGTGAATAATGAGCGAAAACTGTGTTTCGGCCTTGACATCGTTTTTTAGATCAGGTTAATCGGTAAAATGTCCTTGAAATAATGCAATATTGAGAGCGATATAAAATTATTACCCTATGGTGTACACAAGGCGTAATAAATAAATGTTATCTAGACATTATGTCTATAATGCTGTAATTCATCACTGTCTCACCGCACGGGGACTTCGGAGAGCATTAGCGAAAGTGAATTGATTGAGTGAGACAATCATTATCAAGTTAATTATGTTATCGACACAGCTACGCGAGATTATTGCGCTTATGTTAGTTGTACAGATGTGAAGGTATTAATTGGTAGACAGAATCAACTTCCATTATGTTTTTGTGATTTGTTTGTGATAAACTCGAAAGTTACAAAAAGGTTTTCTAAAGGTAGAGATCCTTGAGGAAGGTTGAAATAGGCAAAGCAGTGGCTCTATTAAATTATTACTAGTACTATTATAGTACTTTAATAAATATTATTTAAAGTGTTAATTAATGAGTGTAGTCCACACATCAAGTAAAGTAGGCCTGGCAGTGAGCCGGACAGGAGTCTGCATGAAGTAGCACGTCGGTCGGTCGTAAATTACCGAAGCTAAAACTAGTCACACTGAATCAACAGATAAATATACACAAACTACTTTCAACACTTCCAAGCTGAAATACACTCCAGAGTATAAGGTACTGCCTGTTCTGCAAGTTTTCGCATGACAAAGACAAAACACAAGCAAAAGGATACACAATTTTCAGTGAGGACGAGATTAGGGACCCAGTAACAATGAGAACAATGGTCTAAGGAACATACAACTAAACTTAAGTAATCCAGTGCTCATATAAACATACATTTCCACTTCAATGGCTTAGGGGACTCCTGTAAAAGTACTGTAGTGAAATATTTAGCAAAAAATAATAAACGTGCTCATGGGAGCAT